GCATACCAATAAGGAGGAGCAACTGTGCAAAAACGTACAGCTCTTTATCACAAACTATAAAAAAAACGAAAGCCAGTTATTATTTTGTACATTTAAAGACCTGATTTATATGTACACTATTTGTTATAAAGCATATATTAGATTAAATCAAAATGTATAAATCCATATGGATATCTTTCATGGTGTAGGGTGAATCTGGAATGATGGGAGAGCCTGGAGAAAAAGGAGAAAGGGTAAATTTTTCTTTCATTTTGATGTCATAAAGTAATTATGGTTTGCAGGATTTTTAAAAAAAATGCTGTTTTACTAACATTTGAGGTTTTCCTTTTTTTGATAATACAGTAACAGCATAGGTGAATCATTTAACTTCCATTTTGAAGAGTTATTAAAAAAATTTTGATTTGAAATTTGACTTAATTGCCTGAGTTATCTTTAACACATGCAGGTTTAGCTAATAAATCAGTGCAAGGAACAATGGCAGTGTGCAGAGTGCAGAAACTCATGACAACAAATCATATTTCAAGTTAATGGAATCAGACTGGGGGGGGGGGATTAATTCTGGTAACTATAAATTACATCACTTTACATATTGCTTTTCATCTTAATGAATAAATCCAATAAAATATTTTTTTTCTGAGACAACTACTTAAGCGCTGAGCTCTGTAGCCTGTAGCAGTAATCTGAAAAATACATTTTGAATTGGTTGCTATGGGTTAGTACACTTTGCCGAGATTTGAATATGAATCAACCTGACAGTGACCAATAAACATATAAAACTCAAACATAGAAAATATTCTGTTGAACAGATAAATATAAAAGCATAGAAGCTTTACAAAAAAAGGTAGTCTGGCCTGCTTTGCCTTGCATCTTGCATTTTAACATGTTCTTCTAGGGTACAACAGGACTGCCTGGCCGTATTGGTGATCCGGGACAAAAAGGAGACATGGGAACTCCAGGTAGAGATGTAAGTAGATTATTTTCTTTTAATATTGTATGTGACTGGCATGTTAATTTTGCATCAAATAGCAAAGCAGTCTATGCTAACAAATGATCTTTTTTGGGATTATTAGAACTTTATTTTGGTGGTAGATTTGTATATATACTTTTAATTGGCAAGAAAGAGCAATTTTTTTTAAATAATGCATTTCCAAGTGATAGGTGTAAGCTTACATACTCATACAAAACATAGTCAAAGTGTTCTGAGTTCAAGGATTCCATATTAGTGGCTTGTGGGGAAGCTTTTTATTGTGAAGGAACATGTTAACAAGGCTTGTGGTTTACCAGTCTGTCTGTGTCACTTATGGCAATGATCATTGAGTAATAAACAAAAGACTGAGTTCACACAGGGGTGAAGTTTAAGCTTCCCTACAGGATAGCTGAGCTGAACTCTTTATAACAACATACAGATTATAATAGCCTTGGTGTGTCTCAGAGTAGAGCATTTGATACTTTAAATAGAAAGGCGCTACTTGAGGTGGTTTGGGCATCATAGAAAGAAGCTCCCACGCAGGCTCCCCAGGGAGGTTTATCAAGTAAATCCAACTGGGGCACTGCAGGCAGAATGAAAACTATGCAAGCCATATGACAACTTAGCGCTGACCCTAAAAATGCCCTGGGATTCCTTCAAATGAGCTGGAGCTTATGACCATGCAAAGGGAAATTGGAACCATCCTGCTTAGTCTGCTTTTCCGCTGAGCTATACATGACTATGCAGCACATAAGTGGACACAGTGACCATGAGGAAAAAGAAAATACAAAGATAAATTCACCATGTATAATGAATTTATAATAACATCTGAACTCCACTAATTATTGTGTAATTTCTGTTTTTCCAATAGGGCATTGATGGTAAAAAAGGAAATAAAGGAGAGACTGTAAGTTATGAACTTGTATATGACATTCCAAAAAGCATACGTTGTATAGCAAAATATATTAAGGTGCCAGCAGTCAGTGTCACTACATCCCAAAGAGAAACATGGAGGCTGTCACGGCTAATATATGCCTAGCTTTCATTCTGACCTCTTACTTTAATGCTTTGAGTCAACGATCCAATGCAATTATATGGAAGAGGATTCCTGACTTTTGGGATCTGCATACTTCTTCTGTGTTAGTGAATCGGGAAGTATACTGAGTCCAGAGGATCAACGTATCAGTCAGGCAACTAAAGCTTTCAGAAAGAAGTAAGCAATAGCAGGCCCCATAAATGGCAGGATATTCTTTCACTTTACATGTAAAACTGTTCAGTTATACATCTACAACCTAGTACATCAATGTATGATTCATCTCCCCTAGTGACAAGCAATGATTGTAGATGTATAATCTTTTTAAAGCTGAACTCCAGTCAAACAACTATATACACAGATGAAATGCATATATTGGAGTTGTTTACCTGCCAAATGATTTGTAATTTTCCCAATCCATTCATGAGATTTACACTGTCTGGCAGAGGAGGGGGACCTGATTTTTCTCGGCTGCAGTTAAGTAACACCTACAGGTTCTTCCAGCCTGTAAATGGGCGGTAAAAGGAGAAGTAACGTATGTTTTTTGTTAGCACATGAGGATTACAAAAGGCTGATACCAGGTCGATTTTAAATACGGAAAACAGCCTGCATCCAAAGGATAAGGTTACTTATATATAAATGAATACTGAGCTTCATTCATTTGTGTTTTTATACCTGCCTGGAGTTCAGCTTGAAGCTTTTTGTTTTGTATATAGGCTCAGATTTACTGTTATACACAATATGTGAGGGTTTATAGGTAGTAGAGGTGAAGAGGCACGTTTTCCCTATCATATAAAGTTATTCACAGAATATCACAATACTCTAAGTAAGGCCAGGAAAACAAGTATATGTATTTGTGTAAAATAAGTGATGCAGAAGAATACTAATAATTAGTACTGGCTTCAGTGCTGAAAATCCATGTAAATTCTCTGCTTGTCAGGGACCTCGGTCTTATAATACAACAGGTTCTCAGTTATTTTATAAGCAGCGGTGGTCCCACCTTGTTTCATCTGCATCTCCTGGTGGACTGGCACCTGACCATAAACGTCTGGTCTTTATTATTCGGTTTAGGTAAAACCAATAAATAAATGACGATAGATATGATATAATAGATAGCATTAGTGCCGTAGCTTATTGATTTCATTTATAGCATAGAGTTGCTCCTTAATTATTACTGCTTGCAGTTAGTTTAAATTATATTTAGTGCTATTATTTGGGTTGTTGTTGGATTAAACTGTATTTTAATACGTTAGCAGTAATTAAGCTTAATTATCATCTGCAGGGACAACCAGGACCCCCAGGAAGTTCAGTAAGCATTAAGCTTTTTCTTTTTTTTTCAAGCTTTTTTAACGTGGCATATATTCTTAGGCAATATTTTATTTTGCTTTGGTAGATTACGTCAATCGACAAGAACCTACTTGTCAAAGGAGAAAAGGCAAGTGTTTTGCTGTGTCCCTTTCTTGGCTGTATGTATTCTTTGACTTCATTTTCACAAGGATTTTTGTAATTTTCCAATTAGGGGGATACCGGAGAAGTAGGTGATCCAGGAGAGGGGGGTGTTAAAGGAGAGAAGGGAGACCTTGGCCCACCAGGACAGAGGGTAAGGATCTGATCTTACACATTCATCTATTGCATGCACCATCATGTCAATTGTGATATCTGTCCTGCATTACAAATGTTGTAACTGGAACAACTTGTAGAGGATAGTTGTCTTTTATGCCTATCTAGGGTACTCAATGTCTTTTAAAAAAAAATCTTTTCAGTTATTAGTTGAGCAGCACATATTTTAATCTAAAACATTTCTAGAATCTAAACTAAATGCATGTTATGAAGGCAATAGTTTAACTGTTGTTGTCTTTTTTTTAAGGGTCCAGAGGGTCGTCCAGGACCTCCAGGCAGTACTGCAGTAAGCTACTTCAGTTAAAGCATTACATAATGCGGGCTGACATGAAACAGATACAAACTATACATAAAAATACATTGGACACTAAGTTGCACCTGGTGCGTGTGTGTTTTAGGTTAGTAAATCACCCCCTAAAGCTAGATAAGAAATAAGGTGCCTTACATGTTGTAAAAATATTTTGGTTGTTTTTATCCAAAAATGTATGTTTGGGCAAAAAAACATATTTGGTACATCTCTGCAATTCATGCACATTTCCATATGTTTTTTCCATTTAAAAATGATGCAATTACAGAAGAATCTCCATTGATCCTACCAGAAATCCAGTGAGCTCTTAACTTTCTGTAGTGGGCTGAAAGCGCTGCCTCTACTGAATTAAATCTCAAGCAGTACTGTCAGTCATGCCTGAGATTACCTTTATTAGACTACAGAACACTTACCCCTCTTCTTAACTCCAAAACATAAGGTAGAGGTGTTCTGTAGTTCAGCAGAGGAAAATTTAGACAGGGCTGACAATGCAGCTTACTTTAGAAAGTGTTAAGCTCACTGGATTTTTGTCAGAGTCAACAGGTATCTTTCTGTTCTTGCAGAGACAAAACATGGTGGAATGTATTGTAGAGATGTATTTAATGTTTTTTTTAATTTTGCACAGACATGCACTTCAAGTGCACACATGACATATTATGATAAACAATAAATAAATTGTAAACCTTGTTCAAGTATTTCCATACACTGACACCTTCCTGACCAGCTCACACATAAATGCGGCGGCACAAAGGTAGGCTTTAATGCCCTGCCACCGCATATATGTGTCCACTGTTCTGTGCTGGAAGCATGCTCCCAGAACAGTGAGTGAGCTGTCAAAAACAGCTCCCCCCAATCACTGCTTATGATCACTGTGATTGGCTGTCACATGGAGCCCAAAACTTTTAAATGGTTGGTGGCAGGGGGTTAAAATCTGCTCCTGACCAACATAACTAAGACAATATCCACTGAAGTTAAAAAAAAACCTAATTCGGTGGTTACTGTGAAATGTTAGGGGGAATGGTGTGTGCAGCATCAGATAACACTTGACCCCTCTGGGTGAACACAGTCAGCAGTGGACCAGGCAGCAGAAAACTGATATGTATTAATTAGCTTTTGCTAATTTGTATTTTTTTTTCCTAATAGTTGGAAACCACTCCAGAAAAAGGAATGAAAGGGGAAAAGGTAAGGTACAAACAGGCAATGCACATTTACTTCATAATGGGTTATTAAAGGAGAACTGTGAGATGAGTGATTTCCACTCACCTCATAGTTCTAGCCGACCTGTGACAATGAGACTGTCACAGATCGGCTCAGTAGATCGGAAGGTAAGCGAACAGATACCGATCCTGTCACGGCTCTCTGCCGTGATCTCGATCCTGTCACGGCTCTCTGCCGTAACAGGGGAGGGGCTGGATTCCCCCCTCCGCGCTCCGATCCGCCAGCGCTGACTGGCGGAACGGACGGGGCAGGGGGCGGGTACAGCTGGCTCTGCCTCTAGATAGGCAGATCCAGCTGTCACTCACGCAGCTGGGCAGATCTCAACATCGATGTCGGGATCTGCTCCGGCGTCTCACTATACCGCGAGCTGTAGCTCGCGGTATAATGAGCTTAGGTTAACGGGAGGACGCTAGTTTGTGTCCTCCCGTTACCCTAAGGAGAACTATGGGGAAAATCCCTGACCCCATAGTTCTCCTTTAAAATAAAATATTACACATCTTTACAGTTCCAGCTATAAAAGTCTATAATTCTTTGCATGTTGTACAGCTCTAAAGTAGGGTATACACGAAAATACATGAAAAATTCAGCCGGAACGTTAGATAATGCCTTTACAGACTTGTCGAAACTAACAGGGTTATTCACAAAAGGATGAAGAGTTTGGAGAAGGCAGGAGAAGTGAACAATCTAGGCCAAAATAGATGATTTGGAAACATTCTGCAATTCTGCTAACTTTCCAGTTCAGCTATGTTGTCCTAGATGATTCACCTCTCCTGCCTCCTCCAAACTCTTCACCCTTTAGTCAATAACCCTGTAAATGTGTATACCTTTCTTAAGTTGTAACTGCATTTAATACCTGATTGCTGTTCACATAGGGAAGCACGGGGTCCCCTGGAAAAAATGGCATGGATGGCAAGGATGGAATTCCTGGAACAGCCGGACAAAAGGTTGTATGGATATCTAATGTATCGTAAGAACAATCTATAACTCTTTAAGTTGTACCTAACCAAAGATGAGACTGATAAAATAGGTATAAAATGTAATAATCTTTTTTACATTTGTTTTATTTTTTCAGGGAGAGCCGGGGCAGAAAGGTGTACCAGGAGACGTAGGTTTTCTTTGAAACTTTCGCAATATAAACTTGACCTTTTTTAGTTTACACCTTAAGAACATAACTAATAGTTATACCCTTTGCACATTTGTATAGAGGACCACCATAATAAGACTGGAGTAATGTTATGAAGTTATGTAAAAAAATATAAAAATGTACAGATACATACAGTTCATAGTACTTAGAGACCACACAGGTGTTAGTAGCATTTACATACATCTTATGTAAAACATTTCATTTTTATTTTTATAGAGTGGAACATCGATTGGCCCAGCGATAAAGGGTGAGCAGGGAGATATAGGGCCAATGGGACCCCCTGGACCTCCAGGCCCTCTGGGAGCACAGGTATCAAAGGGTTAGAATCTGTGTGTCTTGCATACTTTGCTATTAACCAAAATGTTTGAAACTTGAACTAATTATGTTTGCTGTAGCAATTGTCACTTAAGACAAAGAACTGCCCAGGAATTACAAATAAATAACTAATTAATAAACTTATTCAAACCTGCTTTCAGATTAAGAAATCTCACATTTTAACCACACTAGCATGTATTGTCTAGAAATTTCTTCTACAGTGATACTACAAGCCTTCATGCAAATAGTATTGGCTGCACCCAACTGATTGTAAAGCCAAAATTTGATTTTCATTTTGGATATAAAGATGAATGGTTAAAAGCCCTGTGAAATATTTTTTGTTGTCTGTTTCACATTAGGGAGATTGCCTTTGCTTTTCTGTCCTGTAGACACAACAGGTAAAAATCTCCAAAGTGAGGGAAATCCCCCCTATTCTTGTTCTACTTCTGATCTCCCTAATGGGAAGGCAGAGAAACCTGCCAAAGGTTCTAACCTCCCTACAGCTAAAACAAAGTTGTGGCTTTAGATACATCTTGAACTCTTTGAAGTTTAATGAGTGGTGTCAACCAGTCATTTTTTTTAATACACGAACTATAGATGGACTGCAATTCTGAACCTCAATAGCAGTACAAGCAAATCTTCTAAATGATGATAATCCATGTTGAAAAACAATTGAATGTCAATCCCCAACTGCACAGAGATTAGCTGCCAGAATTTAAAAATGTATCCTTTAAGTACTTGAATTTCCCTTAAGATACTGGTGTTTCATGGTGCTTTGCAGCCAAATCAAACTGAAAGTACTAGTCCAAGAATACTAGTCCAAGAATGTGGCGTTGGTGGTGATCCATCTTAGGTTGTTGGTATAGGGGGATATTGTTGAACAGTTGAGGGTCACCTTTTTTAAAATTTGAATCTTGGTAGTATAATGGCCCATTGCACCGCTGCCTCTTATCCTGGTAACCAGTCTTTTCTCCTATTAACCTAAGAATGGCCATACTGGTCTTTCATCTACTCTCTTGGTCTGGATGTCAGTAGGAGTGGAGCATTGCCTACTTTCCTGCAGTGATTGATTATGCTCTTTTTTTTCTGCTGCCCTTCTATAGTATAGCACGGTCAGTTCCACTGTCAAGAACTATAGTCCTCTAGCAGCTTGCATTCACAGCTATGATTCTTTCTTTAGAAACCTTGACAAGATTGTATATCCAGTACCATGTATTAACTACTCCAAATTAACTGTTTTCTTTTCTGCTTGTTTTAAAAGTATATCCCTGGAAAAAGCATTGAAATGAAGGTAAAAAAAACAGAGCTAAACACACTCACATTTGTGAAGAAGAAAGTACATTTGTCTAAATTAATGGCCCTAATTTACTTAAGGTTATCCATACATGCTGCTACACCAGTGCATGGCCAGATCATATTCTTACTGTATTAACTATGTTTCCATGATGCACCTGGAAATGTATGCACAAGCATCAGCATACATATGGTTAATTAACTAAAAAGTGTGGTTAGCTATGAAGTGCATGCTTCAATGTCTGAATGTATGCTGGATAAGAAGTCAACAATCTAAGTGCCAGCAAGTGGACTGAAAGTGGACACTGGGGCGGGTTAATTCATCAATTTTAACACACAAATAGTAACACACTGCGGATCCCCAGGGGCAAGGGGATACCATACCCCTCAATTATTTCTACAACAAATGTACAACAACCACTAGGGGGCTTTTAAGGTATCGCCACAGCCAATAAAATTTACATATAAAATGCCATCATTTGTTAAATATCACATTAAAAGTCTCATATAAAATCAATGCATGTGTCAGATCTCATTTCATTTTTACTTGATCCTTGTATTTCATTTTTGTTATTATCACATTCAGCTATTGATTTGCATGTTCCACTTGTAGTTCACTTGTAATTTGACGTGTTTCCCTTAACGGCTTCCTCAGGAACTACAGGTAAGATTCTAGTCTGATCCCCTGATGAAGCCTAAGTGCGAAACGCGTAGAGAACTAATCATGTTGGAAAGAAATATCTGAAATACAGCTTGAAGAACACGCCAATGAATTGATTACGTTGAACGAATCATGGCCGTTAGGCTTTAGAACTTTATCAATGAATGTATGTATGTTGGGCTAGTCAATGACGAGGGATGAATTATGTTAGTCTAAATTGGAATATTGCATCCATGTATGTATTTAATAATGTTATTTATGAGTTGTATCAGCTACTTTGACCAAGCAAATGTTTTTATTGAAATGAATTTATGTACAATACAATAAATTTGATATAATTTTACGCATGGTCTACTATGTCTCTCCATAAACCCTTTTCCTCCACGTTTTTTCTTATATGCTATGGTCACTATAGTCAATTGAACCTATATTTCATTGATTGTGCCAAAAAGCCCGAGATGCCAGCCATCTCTCCATTGAGTCTAGGTACCAGTGTGGAATCCTCCGGCATGTGTTATTGAATCTTACCTGAAATTCCTGAGGAAGCCTTTGAGCAAAACAAGTTGAACTACAAGTGACCTGTAAGTGAACTACAAGTGGCACATGCAAATCAATAGCTGAATGTGATAATAACGAAAAAGACATACAAGGATCATGTAAAAATAAAATGAGATCTTACACATGCATTGTTTTTATAAGAGATATTTAATAAATTATGTAATTTTACATGTAAATTTTCGTGGCTGTGACGATACCTTAAAAGCACCCTAGTGGTTGTTGTACACACAAATAGTCGCTACCATCACGTGTTTTTTTTTCAAACAAACTTTATTGGGTTTTTGGATATTCCCAGGATGGGAATATCTTTTTCATTGTATAGGTTACATATATGAGAGTTCGTAGCTACTTTAAAATAACAACAAAACCTACAATTCCCATGCTGGTTGCCACATCTACAATAATTAAACGGCTATATTACGCATTTTCATTAGCATGGCGTAGGCAAATCATCAAACACACTATATTATGTTAGAGCACCTCGAGGACCCCCAGGCTATTTGTCAGTTGGGCCTTCATATACCAAGCGGTGTATGTAAAAGGTTGCATAATTTGGGTCAGCTCCAATCTATTAAAGGTTACACCCAGATAGCAATACAATACAATAAATTTGATATAATTTTACGCATGGTCTACTATGACTTGCCAAGCTTCACAATTTTGTTGCACAATTACAGCAAGTCTGCATTGCAAGTCTCCAGACCAGCGAGCTTACAGAGCTCTTGCTAAGACCTGCAGGACTCTTGCTGTAGACTTGCCAAGCATATTTGCTACAAATTCAAAAAGTGTAAACTAGAACTTGTGCTGTGAGTGTTCTGCAAGTCTACAACTTGCCAGGAATATGTGCAGCAAGTTAACAAAATTACAATTTCACCCCGCCACAAGTTTGTAGCAAGTTATCCTTGCTATCTGGGCAGCCAGTAAATATTTCCAATGCTTAAAGAACTTTGTGGTTAGTGCATCTACGTGACCATCACGTGTTTTAATGGTAACATGCACCATTTATTGCATCTGCTTTTGCAATTCTGACCTTTACACGAAAGGTCTGCATCACTTGCTGCTACACCCAGACAGAAATGTAGCAGGGTTTACAATATGATAGTTCTGTCCAAACACGAGGTTCTTAGCAATATTAGTCCAGAAGAATTTTTTTTAACTTAACACACACTAACCACTATCTTTACAAATATTTTCTATTTGCTTTCTTTTTTAGGATTTAGAGATATTATTTGAATCATATGGTATAAAGGTAAGTTTGATTTTCTTATACTGGTGGTTGATATGACATCGGCTCTGTATGGCTGCCTTCGATCAGCTGAACCGAAGCTCCGGCAGCTCACTTGCTGCTGTTTGCCCCTTTTTTCACAGGGGCAGAACAGCAGTGAGTGAATAGACGAATACCGCCAAGCGGCATTTGGCTCGGCTATTCTGCTCGGTACCTCCGTGGTACGAAGCAGAATAGAGAATAAGTGAAAAGAGTGCAAAAAAAAGAGGTTGAAAAATTATTTTTAACTGCCTCCCGGCCGGCCAATGTACACAATTGGCTTCTTGGATCTGAGCGGGCTATAGAGGGAGATAGGTACACAATCTCCCTCCAGTCCCCTCTCCGGTGTCAGAATGCGGAAGTGATGTGCATTACATCATTTCCGCATTCTTGTGTCACTCTCCAGCTTCAGAAGCTGGAGAGAAGCTGATGAAGCAGATCTCTGCTTCATCAGCTTCTTTGGGGTCCCTAGGTGACATTAGGGGTCTTGGAGACCCCTGATGTCTCCATAAAAAGGACCTTTCACATCTCTTTGCTATCACATAGGGGGTTTTCTTAGCCTCCTATGTGATAACAATAAAGTTAAGTGAAAAAAAATGTAAGTTGCAAATAAAAAATTTAAAGTCACTAAAACAAAAAAAACAATACACGCGTGCAAACATGCGTCGGGCGCATACGTGTGAAAACGACGATTACTCTGCACATACATGTTACATATGTATGTGCATGTTACATATTGCCGTGGATGTTGCAGTGAGAGCAACAATTCTAGGGCCATCAATCACTGATAAAACTAAACTGATGAGCAATAAAAGCTTTTAAAGCGTTGCCTATGGCCAATTTTGGGCATGGTAGTTTTTTTGCGATTTCACAGGTGTGCACAATTTTAAAGCTTGACATGTTTGGTGTCTATTTACCCGACGTGACCCCATATTTTATATTTTACCAAACAAAAAGGGTATTGTATTAAAATTGTATTATAACATAATGTAAAAAAACTTTTTTTTTCTTCAAACTTTTCAGCAATGTTTCCTTAATATAGTAAAAAATAAAATACCACCAAAAGAAAGCCAATGAATAACAACTGGGCAGAGCCGGCTCCACCCAGTTGTTATTGTTTAATGACAGGTCAGTGTCCCCAGGTCATTTGGGGACGCTGATCTGCCATTACAACTGGGCGGAGCGAGCTGAGCTGTCACTTGCGGGGTGAATGGCTGGCATTCGGCCGGCTGTTCGCCCCGCTTCGGCTGTCACTTCAGCTAAGTGGAGCCAAACCATATGCTTTCGGTTCGCTCCCGCGGCTGAAGAGAGCCGAAGGATCAGCCAAAGCTACGGCTGTATCCTTCTACTCAATAATGAATAACTCCCTAAATGTTGCAATTATCATTTTCTTCTTTTCAATATACATTATAGACTCCAAATGTGCATGGCAAGTTTGATCTGTACATTCCTTAGTATAGCACTAACCCAGCTTCATCAGACCTGTGCTCTGGGCTTGCTAAGCACTTAGGACAACTCACTACATGTACAAGTACCGTCCTGAGACACAGCAGGACAACATATGATTTGTCAAGTGGCTGGTATGTTTCCTTTTGAGGAAAACACTTGCTATAGGTCCTTATTATTACAGTAGGTGTGTTATACATGCCAGCCCTTATGATTTTCTTTCTTATTAAATAATGTTACTAGGTTTGCTTACCTCACAACTTTCTGAGATGAGAAAAAAGACCACCTTCCAGTTCCAGTATAATGTATTTAGGCAATAGACACCCCCCCCCCCCCCCCCCCCCCCCCACGCCCCCACAC